GTATTTATATTTGTTCCAGTTAAAGTCTATTTCAGTTAAAAGCCTTGTAGTTTTACAGTTGTTTCTTTGCCCTTCCATTATGTTTTGGTGGCCATTTTTATTAAAATAACTTGCAAAAATGAAATAAATGATCGCACTTTGCATGGATATAAACATAAATATGCAATGGAGTGAAGCATTAAAATTTTTATTTGAATGTATGGCTCTCGCTATTCATATAACAAATTGACGGCCATCTTGAATTTTGAAAAATTATCAATATCTCGTATGTATCAACTGGCAAAGAAAGTCAAGCTTATAAGCTTCTCTAAGTTTTGTAACCCAGATGAAATAATTTCTTGTAAAAAAGCTTGCAAGATATAACATAGCAAGCTTTGACTATGGGGCTCGTCAGAATGGAAATGGACTCTCAGGAGATAGCACCGTCTGCCACCATCTGATTAATGTCAAATANCATGCAATGTCTATTTTCTAAATTCTATTTTCTATTGGCGCTATCTTATGATCACGGTCTGTGCCCTGAATATCCCGCCGCGTAATTACTGGCAGCGCGAGCCAGTTACTTATAGTAACTTATAGTAACTGGCTCGCGCTGCCAGTAATTACGCCGCGGGATATTCAGGGCACAGACCGTGATCATAAGACATACCGCAAATAGAAAAGAGAATTTAGAAAATAGACTTTGCATGTGAATGAAGCCTAAGTGAACGTTAAATGAGACAAATTATTGCAATGGATATTTTAATATGTTCATATTTAAAAAAAAATGGCTAAACCTCCATCTAGATATGTCGGCGTTAATTTTTTAAAACAAATGGTACATGTTGAGAAATAATTTTGATATTTTGTAGAAACAAATTAATCTGAGCTTTTTGAATAGCACTGACGTTTGCGTACCATTTGTTAATCGGTCCCGATGTTGGCTATGAAAACGGAAAAGGGTGCGACCTGCAACTCTGTATGGTGCTGCCACTCCGTGCACACCGTTTTTTTTGCCAGCCAAGCAGCCGTCAGTTATCCCTAAGAAATAAGGAAGTAAATAATAGATGAGTTGTAAATAGGCCTATTATTATTAACAGCGATTTCGATGTGCCTGTGGGTGAAGTATTCAAGAGAATGTCCGAAATAGTATGGTTTAACGTCAAGGGAAACGTATTTTGGTAGCGTAATCACATATTGGTCCCTTTTCATTCAAGTAACCAGTAATGAGCTTGTTTCACTTTTACAGGAAAAATTATCATATCTCAACTTCTGAAATGATCAAATTTTGAAGTGCTGAGTCGCACGCTTTTTAATTGGATGCTGTTTTTTTTAGTTTTTGGTTATTGCTTAGCAGTAGGCCTACATAACCAAACCCAGGATCCAGCAATTTGTTCTTACTTGGCAAGCCTCTCGTCTAAAATGTAGGCCTATCCCGAGTTTCAAAAAAGTATAATCGAAAGTGGGTTTCCCTGCTCTAGCTGCCTGTGGTTTCCGTCACCGATTCAACAGCAAGATGCGCTAGAATTGGGATGATAACGCAGGAGAGTTCCCCACTGAATCTGAAACTCGAGGTTCTAACATTGTTTTCAGTTCTACAATTTGTTCTCATTTTTGCCTTTCACATTTAGAAACAAAAGAGTTTAGCGTTTGCGGAGATATTCAGGTGTCGCGTAGGCCTTGGTTGATATTTTTTAACTGAAGTCTAAATCTGAAACGCGGTTCGGAGCACCCATTGATTAATATGAACAAGGTGGAACTTTGGTTAGCCACAGAATTTTTTTCGTCATCTCTCACCATATAGAGCTCCCATGCCTGTCCAAGTATTTAAGTTACTTTTAGCTCACGTAAGTTTATAGCTAACAGTAACATAAAAAACCCGAAGAAGACAAAAATAAATAAATGAAAAAATAAGATTACAGGATCGCAACAGAAACCCCCCTCCCCCCCCCCCCCCCAAAAAAAAGCGCTAGTATTCTTGAGTGAATAATATGTTTACGAAGGCCTAGAGCAAGAACTCATTCTTGTCCCACATTTCCTCGACCACAAACGCTAGATAATACACTACATCTCTCATCCCGTAGGCCTTATATTATTCTGTCGGTTGTTTGTGCCTCTGTTTTTATCCATAATTAGCAAACCCTTATTTGTGTCTTTAAAAGTGTTTTTCACAGCTTTCTTAAATTTGTCATGTCAGAAAATACCCCCGTGCGATAAATATGAGAAAAGTTGTGCTGTGGGTCTTATAGATCGAGGCCTATAGCCTAATCAGAGGGTTCCATGGGGAAAGGGGAGGATGGGAGCGATCATGCACCGTTCACGGAAAATAAAATCATCAATTAACAAATAAACCTATTCATATCTCATTGTAATAGCAGGAAATACGAGTTGGAGATCAAGAATCCCTGAATATTATGACTTCGTTTCACGCATGACGAAGAACAATTTTAAAGCATTCACGACTCACGGAATGGGTTCTTCAAGGATCACGCTAAATAATATGAACGTTTCACGAATGTCGGGGGGGAAAATAGTGACTTTCAAGGGCAATGAAAATACCAAATGGGACCCTCTAATCATACAGGCAATGAAAAATCTTCAAGATGTGATCACTTATTATTACGTAGGCCTACATATCTTTAAAAATTGTCGAGAGACTCTCAGCTTCGGTCTTTGGGTCTGTTGATTATGCCCACTGGATTATGTTCAAAGAATCTATAAATTAAGGGTCTATAAAAGGTACACGTACCAATTTGCAATGTCCTTTCTTTACTCGCTTCGCTGTCATTAAATATCAAATAACTGAGATGAACATAAATCACACTATCTGAAATATAATTATTTTAGAAAGCGGGATGTAACAAGGGATTCATGTCTACGGTATTTGTAACAAGTTTAAACAGAGCGAAAATTACCCTTTACCTTAATTTTATTAAGTCCTTTAATTACCTTTNTTTCTCTCAACCTAAAGAATGCATTTCAGCAAAAAAAGTTTACAGGAAAAAACATTGCAGGGTTAGCGTTCTGGCTACTCGACTATAATAGCTGTAGGAGGTAATTAACTTCCGTGCGCGCTCGGCTGACAGCAATTTAACGTGAACCTCCAGGGAGTTAGGTCGATCCAGATGGATCGATCTAAATCTGTGGGAATGCAGCCTTATTCGTCAATGATACCCAATGAATTCTGTCTGGGAGAAGTATGAATTGATGATTTATATGTTAATCATACCAGCATAAATACTGTATATATGCATACATAATGAACACATATACGGCATATACGGGGGTGACAAAAGCACTGCAACGCGTGGATTTAAGAGCAAAAAATAAATTTCCTCCCTTTTTGTTCTGTGACATGTTACTTTGGTTCCAAAACACCCCAGGCGAGCATTCTTGCCAAAAATTTCATTTTGGGGCCATTTTGTCAAGAAGAACTTGAGGCATAAAAATATAAATTCATTACATGAACTGTTAAAACAGTTTCAATCTGACCACAATTAAAGCTTTTGTAATAGTTTCAAATGTTCAATCAAATATTCGACGTCCATTTTGCACAACTTAACTGCCCGATGAAAATGTTTAATTTCTTATATCTGCTAAAATATTTGGTAATCCAAAACAAGACTCTAAAAAATTGACAGCTGTTTGCCAATAAAGGAGCATAAGTCATCAATCGTAAATAACAAAGCATTTTTTTTACAGACAGGTCCAATCTCAACGCTGACATCATAGTTTGATGTTACGTAATATGTATGAGAACGTAATTCTGGTACATTCCCCAAATTCTTACACTGACACGTGTAACTGCTATCAAATCTTTGGTTTTATTAGAAGACAAGCAGCTTCCATATATTACCTTAATAATTATAATTAAGCTAGAAAATGTATTCCTAAAAGGATGAAAATGTAACGATATCAGCTAAAACTTAATCTTGACTTATAATTCTTTAATAACTGAAGAAGCGAACTAAAACTTTTGTCAAACCCTGTAGATGATATTTTATGTGTGGTTTATATAGGCTGACATAAAATACATCTGTAATGTTTTCGCCTGACAGCGTGTACACAAGGCCAAGTTGTAAGTATTACCAGATTTATTTTCTGTAGCAATCCAGTTTCTACATTAAAGAATGAAAACTGGAATATACGCTGAACACTTACATATAGATGGTTTGAGTTTCAATGTTTATTTCCCCCATAGAATTACTCCTCGGAAAAAAGCACGTGAGCGTCGGGTATGTGATTCGATTAACATCTAACATTTGTTTGAAACTACATCTGAACGAAAACTTATGCATCCGTATCTGCTAGTGCACATTTCTCCCGAATGATGTGACCGTTTTGAATCAAACATCAGCTTTTTTCAAAATATTAAGTGGTAAGGTAACAGCTACTAGTATCACGGTCGATATTTATTCCAGCATCCAATATACAGTTTTTGTAGGCTCAGTTACATGCTTACATTGGAATCTACTACTGAGGTAAAGATATGTCATTTTCATTTTGGTCCAACATGAACGTGTTTGCAATTATTAATAATTTACATGGATCCTTATGTTTCCATTTTTTTTATTTATCTGCCTGTTCACAATATCATTTATTTTCTTAGGGTCTTATGGAACATATGTTTCCTATATGACATCCCAAAGGAGGCCTCACAGAGTACATGTAGAGTGACATAGGGTCCTGTAGGGTTCCTTAAAAGTTCATATAGAGTCACAGAAAATCTAACAGGACGTCCCATAGAAATTTTTCGTACGTTTTATTTATTTTTTTATTTTTTTTTTATTTTAGAAAATGGATTTCAAGATCAAATTTCTCTTGTCATGCTTTTTTGTCACTGCCCATCCGTTCCTAATGTGAATCTTCCTCCATAGTTGAAGGGAAGGAAGGTACTTACACCGAGGTTCTTTAAGCTCTCTCATAATATATAATTATTCATTTGTCTTTTTTTGTAGAAAATGCATTTAAATAGGCATTTCCTACTGACATGCATAATAGTCCTACTAACTGTGTTCGTGATGGTGGGATTTTACGTCAAAACAATCGCCAACAGTGGTGGATCATCCTCTAGATTTCAAGAGAAGGAAAGAAGCAGTAAGGACACCAAGGTTCTTCAAGATCTTTTCTCGGGAGAACTGGACGCCCTGGATTCCAGGCTAATTGAGTTTGTGAGGCATAGAATGCTCTATGCACCTACTAGGAGGCCTCGAAAGCTTAAGACACCCGACAAAATCCATTATTCGCAAAACGGACAAAGTCGTGTGGTTGATAAGTTGCTACACCAACGACGGCACGGTTTCTTTGTGGAGGCCGGCGCTTGGGATGGGGAGGAAAACAGCAACTCTTTATTTTTTGAAAAATATCGCAACTGGACCGGAATACTGATAGAACCCGACCCCCTAAACTTTGAACAACTTGTCATGAAAAACAGGTAGGCCTGATGTCTATGGTTGCACATGTAAACACTTATTGCTTTCCAATATTACAAATGTAGGCTACGTAAATTCCTCGGTAAGTGAGCTTGTCTCGGAATATGATACTTACATGTTAATCCTTACAGATAAAGGTTACAATAGGTAATTCTTTTTACTCCATTCGTTCTTTCTAGTGATAGCAGAATTAATAACTGTCAGGGATAGCTTGGCTACCATAATGTCTTACTCCACTCTTTTCCAAGCCAAATCCCAAATCCCACGAATACTCGCTTTTTTAACCGTAATTCGCAAGGCTTTGGGATATACTGTGCCTGACGATCCCCATAGAGTTTTAGTTAATTTGGTGGATCAGCGCCCGGTGTTTATTTTCTCTAAAATATGCAAGGCTTTGACAACCTGAATCACACAAACTTCTAAAAGACCAAAAATTAATTGACGCCAAATGGTGGAGGCAAATTTATGACCACAGACTAATTTATCTAGTATATAATTTGGCTTTTAAGGTACATTTAAACATCATTTCAGGAACTCATAATCTGAGGCCGAACATACTAGCATAAATTTTGTCCAAAGTACAAATACCATCATTTCAGGAATTTATGACTGGAGACTGAAAACGGTAGTGCATACTTTCTCTTTCAAGGTACATTTCTTATCATTTCAGGGAGGCATTTGTGGTCCAAACTTGCCTCACGAGTAAACCCATGTGGCTGGACTTTACGTTATCCAGCAGACCAGATAGTGGGGCGATCAACCCAATAGACAGCAGAATAAATGTTAAGGGAAAGAGCAAATTACTTTGCCTGCCGATCCAGACGCTTTTAAGCACCATTGGACGGACACACGTGGACTTCTTTTCCCTCGACATAGAGGGAGCAGAACTGGAGGTTCTCCAAGCTTTCCCGTGGGATAAAATAACGGTCGATATGTGGACAGTCGAAGTTCATCAGCGTACCAAGAATTACAGTCAGGCTTTATTAGATATTAGAAGGGTTTTTAATCGAACCGGGATGTATAAAGAAGTACAGCCACTTGGACAAGATCTACTGTTTGTGCGAAAAGATGTCCACTAAACGTAAGAGGGTTAATTTTTAATTTGTTTTTTTTTAATTCTAGTATCTTACTGTAACCTGGATTTCACCTTTTACTTTTCCCCACGATTTTGTTATACATTGCAAGTTTCTACAAAAAATTGACAATTTTGGTTATTGCATTTTGTAGAGTTTGTCAAACACAACACTCGAAGTAGTGTCCTTTTTTTCATATGATTGCGTTTACTCCAACTGGTGGTACGGAGGAGGTATCGCCTCTATGATCCTCTAGTTATTTTTGTTGTTAACGGCTTTTTTTGACCTATATTGTTAAGGCTACTTCATGCGAGGGTGGGAAATAAAACGGTTGTAAAATTACTCCGCTGACCTCTTATTGTCGATATCGTAGAAAACACTTGTGATAGAAATCACCGCGTGGCGTCACACGCGACGAGAACACGTGCGAGAATCCGCGTGAGGTGAAGGAACCATTATGGCTATGTGCCGAGAATACCTTCTTTGGAATCGATAAAGTGGCACACAAAGCAGGATTAATTCGTAACCTTTTTATATTATATAGGCAGTGTTTTCACTCCTGTACATACAGTAACTAAATTTTAGTATTTATTGTCTTACTGCAATCTTAGTCTGCTATTATTTCTGATCTCACTTGATTTTACACTACGTCGTGCGACTTAAGATTATCTCAGTTATTCCTAATATTTTATCCCTACCATTGACATGAATTCTAACTTAATTATACTTGGGCTTTCTCAAACATTTCCCATGCTGCCCACCGTTTGCTTTGTTGATTACTCACCTGAGTAATTTGAAGCTTAAGTTTGGAAAGCGGGGATTATAGTTTATCGAAAAAAATCTTGAGACGGTGGATAAAAACACCAAAGTATGCATGTGATTACCTTTTGGCATTCTAAACCAAATAAGCATCTCGGAAAAAATACTATGTTTGGCCAAAAAATCCAAAAACGCTGCTGGTTTATGAATTTCTATAGAAATATATACATACTTGTGTTGATTTTTATCAAATAACGTTTCTTTGCACGCGTTACATGAATATACTAATACCAGGATATTGCTTTTCATCTACAACTAGGGAGATATACATGTAGTGTTTATTAACAATTTCTATCATTTTACCTCTCTGATATATATCTGGGACAGTATTCTCAAAACCTTGTAACTTACAACAATTTGGTACTATTTATGTGAATTTATAACTTCGACTTACGCGGTATTCTCGAAATTCTTGTAAGTCTTGTACTTACAAACTCTTGTAACTTTTTACGTTTGTTTCCTGAGGTGACGTTTGGTCCATGAATAATCCACAACGACGTATCTAGACAAAGAAGTATTTTAAAATAAAGTAAAATTAGTCAGAAAGACGTTTTCTAACATTTTCGTACAAGTTTTCGTCGGAAAATCCACGACATGTAAGTTCAGAAATCGGACTTGGCTTCTCTTGTGGGATTCCCCCAGCTGGGATTCCCCAAGTTTCTTTTATTGAAAGATCTATTTAGTTTGCACTTAAAATGATCAAGGATATTTTCCTTAAGTGAGTTGATTATAATAGACATTCGCCATATTGTCTCAAATTTGACATCTGCGTGGTTTGATGCTGTCTTTGGACACCAAAGTTCCAAAACAATACAAATAAGTTCACTCAATTGATCAAAATGTGACATTCAGTTTGATATGAAAATGTAATATTTATCTAACTGTCATTCTTTGCTAGTGGTTACAAAATGTTGAATTTGACCGAAAATTTCAAACTTTCTCTGGGAAGTTGTAATTTNCATTTTAGTAGTATTACAACGCCAGAAAATGTATTGTTGACCAACTTTGTTTCTATGATACCGATGTCCATCGAAAATCAAGATTTTTCCGCCCCGATTTCCAACCGAAATTCGGGGTACCGCTATTAACGCAATTTAACTACCACTTGAGCCTTTGGATGGTCTCAGAATGAACGACCGCGTCGTCTTTTTTTCTCTTTTATACGCAGCAAGAGATTATATAATAATTACAGATTAATTCGGCAATTACACGTCTTTTTTTAATTATCTTACATATAATCTTTACATGTGTATGCCAGGTGTCCACTAATATGTTTAACTTTCCTTATGAATACAGGAAATATGTTTCCCAATGGGGAGTGGGAATAAGTTGGACAAGTGAAGAATTAACAAAAATGGCTACTTGAAAATAGCAATTTTAAAATGAAAATCAAGACGAACAGCGTAAGATGGCGTGGCATATTTCAGTTGAACGTGCTCATCTATTTGAGGCTAAAATTATACGATATAAAAACAATATATTATAAATAAAATACAACAACATATTACAATTACTGTGTTAAAGCACAACGAAACAGTGGCATAACTAAATGCAATTAAGTGTGTAATATTGTCAATAATAATGTGAAGTATTTGGGCATAATAAAAACATAAAAGGCGTGAAATTTGCTGACAATTATTTACTTAAACTGACGATGCAACGTTACACATCGCGATGGACCACTGACAGGGTATAAAGTTTGTATTTGAAAGTATAAGGGTACATATGTTTATAAAAGCACACATAACGTCAAAAAATTATTCATGAAAACCTTTTTTTCAATAAATTTAATCCTGTCGTTGTAAAGTTACGCTAATTACTATTAGTAATGAAGGGAAATCAAACAGATGAAAAGTGGTATTCTGTGTAGGTCAAGTTTCAGCCAGAGTCAACAAATGTTAGAACATGTCTTTTTTTTTTTTTTTTTTTTGTGTCAGAAAAAGAACGAAAAGGTTAAAGAAAGTCATTAACAGTTTATGTGATTGGTTAACTTCATAACATAATATAATTTAAATTTCGTTCTACTATTTCTCGCATGATGACTGAGTTTTGGATATGAATCTAGTATGAGTATTGCAAATACTATTTTTGCTAATTTACGTTAAAAAAGGCTATTAGACATTGCCTAACAAGGTTGTGTTCTAAGGTAAAGTCAACATAAGTTTGGAAAACTGGAAATCACGTTATAAACAATTTAAAGAACACAATAAAACTATTATATAATATAGTATAAATACTTGTAAAATTGTATGAAGAGGGAGTGGTAAATAAGTGATTGAAGACTCCATAACATCGTTGTCGTTACAACACTTTTTTCAAAATCGGACACTTTTAAACATTTAACAAGAGCTTTGAAATATGTATATGTAAAAAGGGGAAAAGTGTGTTAAAGTACGTTGGAAATGAAGAACAAATTAATAAAACCAATTTTGTAATAAATTGCTGTAATTATGGGTACATCTTATTAATACACATGCATACGAATAATTCACTATTTTGGGGGTGTTGGTACATTTAATTTGAAACATTACAACTTGCATTACGCGTTGCAAGCTAATCAAAAGCAAGATACATTTTCAGAAATCTTGACTTCAGAAGGCTGGGACTGAAGATTAATGGCGACGGAAATACCCGTTCACTTTGCCAAGTAAAACATAGAAAATAAGATTAAAAATGTCGGGAGGGATCGGTCTTTGATGTACTTCTACACTCTGGTGTCATGTAAACATTGTATGAGACGCCCGTAATGTGATATGAAAATGTGGACATCAGTTTTTAAGAAGTAGGTGTCTTAATAAAGGCTGTTCGGCTTATATGAATAAGTCGGGCAAAAGGTTAATGGTTAAGCTTTGAGCTTAAAATAACATGGGCTTTAAGTCTTACCGGTTATTAAAACAAACGGCCATCATAAAAGGCATAGTGGTAATATTTATTGACGAAAAAATCAAAAATACTTTGGTGTATTACTATGGCAAAAAAGAAAATACAGGCCGAAATACAGTTCATAAATGTATAAAATATACAATATGAAAAATAAACTTTGTAAAAACTTTATATTAAAAACTGAAATGGCATAGCAATATGAAAATAAATATGCATCACTTGCCGTCTTAACTAACTGGTCAGTTTGTTAAAGAAAATTTATGATTCCAATATATGTTAGTATTCGAACGAATTATCCGTACATTTATAATCAAGGGTTTCCCCTCCCCCCGCTCACAGACATGCATGCAATAAATGATATTTCGTTACGTATTCTGACATGTAAATAAGTCTCTTTATCAGTTCTGAGAGGTACATGTGCTAGTTGGCTAACGCAATTAATTATCAAAAGTAACACAGCACACAAATATAAAACTATATGTCATTAAATCAATAATAAATAGTAATTAAATAGATAATAACAAAAATACGAAGCTAAAATAACTGCATGTGACAATTACGACTACTAAAAGTATAATGATAATAAATAAAAAGATGTTAATTTTACCATACCCAATAACTACAAGTTCGCCAAAAATANGTTTTTTTTTTTTCGCCCTCTCGCACCGATTTTGGGGTACCCAGAGGATGTCATCCATAAAAATAAAAAAGTGTGGCCTTAATACTACAAAGAACATGCATTACACACTAAATTTATGATTCCAATATATGTTAGCATTCGAACGAATTATCCGTACATTTATAATCAAGGGTTTCCCCTCCCCCCGCTCACAGACATGCATGCAATAAATGATATTTCGTTACGTATTCTGACATTTAAATAAGTATCTTTATCAGTTCTGAGAGGTACATGTGCTAGTTGGCTAAGGCAATTAATTATCAAAAGTAACACAGCACACAAATATAAAACTATATGTCATTAAATCAATAATAAATAGTAATTAAATAGATAATAACAAAAATACGAAGCTAAAATAACTGCATGTGACAATTACGACTACTAAAAGTATAACTATAATAAATAAAAAGATGTTAATTTTACACACACCCAATAACTACAAGTTCGCCAAAAATAATTAGAGAATGTTTTCTTTTCAGTAATTTCCTAAAGTGGGTGACGTCCATAGTGCCAAAAATAATTAATAAATTAACTTACAGAACTGATTATTTAAAGCGATTTAAGATGTTTATGTCCATAAGGATAAACTTTCAATGCGCAGTTTTAACAAATTCAAATGGTACGG